TATACCCTTTCATACATTTAAAAATCACTGTAAGTAGAAATCATACACTTAAATATCTGAGTGTGTACTGTATGTGTTCATTTTTCCTTGCTGTGACAAAACACCTGAGCAAAACTACTGAAAGATTTATTTGTGATTCCAGAGGTTTCCATCCTTCTTGACGGAAGAAGATGGCGCAGCAGAGAAGTTTCCCCATGGCCACCAGGATCTGGGGGTTTGGAGACAGCTGAAGAACATCTGCACTTTCTCCTTTCTCTTTTATTCTAGCTAGGTCCCCAGCCCACATTCAGGATGTCTTCATCCCTCATAAGCTATTCCTAGAAAACCCCTCATAGCCAGCACCTTTAGTTATAGTAGAGGCGTTCCTCCTGCTCATCCTATGATTCCATCATTTCCATGGACAGTTCAAACTTTGTGGTCAAATTAACATTTCTGAGACTCTATTTCCAAGTGGTGAACAGTGTGGAAACAGGCGATTTAAAAAAAGACATGTTCTTTATGCTTAGATGTGTAGCAATAGGTTTAAGAATATTGTTGTTTTTTTTCTTCTTCTTTTCTGTCAAGAGAGAGAAAAGTGTAACTTCAGTGATGTTACAACTTTCTGTTTTTAGTATCTTCTACCTTGTTGCAACTTCTCATCCCATTCTCAATAATACTTGGTAACAAATGTGCTTAAAATGACCAAACAAATAACTTAAGTAGATCTGCTGGTTTCCCTTGTTTGCCTGGTGCAGAGGGGAGGGGAGGGGACCCTGCCAGTCCTTGGGGCTGGCCCTGCTCTCATGCCCTGCAGGTAGGGCTTGAGTTAGGAGGTTCTGTGGAATCTTCCACTGTGAACTTTTGACTTTATGGATTTCTATCTGTAGAGCATAGCACAAGCCAAGCTGAATAGCTATGTGCCCCAAATCATAGCAGGGCGAATTATGTCCAAATGTATCAGGAGGCCCAGGTGTCACTCACATTTCCAAGGTTTCTTTTCCCTCTTGTGTGAGTCACTTTTGCTATAACAAAGTACACAGTCATATTTGCGACCTGTGGTGAGGCCAAACATCACAATGGAAGTGGTAGAACAAAGCTTCCTGCCTTGTAGTGCCTAGGAAACAGTGGGGGAAGGGTGTTAAGGGGTCAGAGACTCATCCCAGATTATGCAAATTTGAGGTGAAAACACTGGACAAAACCTCACCAATCCCTGAGCAGGAATATTCCCGAGCTTCCCACAAAAAACCCACCAATCCCTGAACAGGAAAGCCCACCAATTCCTGAGCTCCCCAAAGTTCAGGACTTGAAATCCCACCAATTGTCACTCTGGAAATCCCTGCTCCAGAAACCGCACCCCCTGACCCCCAGGAATTCTTATATAAAGGCTGTGTTTGCCCCAGTTGCCTGCTGCCTTCTCCTGGGGGCAGAGACAGACATTTTTGGATTCCTCCCTCCTTTCCTGAGTTCATCCCTTCAATAAATCTCTTTTAAGAAATTTACTGCCTGCTGTGACTCACTCATCAGAAGAAGAAGAGAAGAAATGAAGAAGGAGCAAAGCTCAGACTCCAAAGCTCCTCAGCAAATCAGGGGTTAGGACAAGCCCTCCTCTAGAAACTGCAGTGTCTCTGTTGAGGAGGCCTTCTCTCAAAGCTGTATGGTTCCTGGGCTCCTGAGCCTCAAGATACCCTTGGGACACTGTTCCACCCCACTGTTCCTTCCCAGTCCTCACAGCTTCAACTCAGATTTGTAGTCCTTAGAGTCACTACAGTTATGTATTTACATACTAAAATCTGTACAACTAAAGAAGCTAAGCAAGAAAAGGACTCTGGGTAAGGTGCTCAATCTTCATTCAGAAAGGCAGATGGGATGGACATCAGAAGAGGAAGAAACAGGGAACGGGACAGGAGCCTACCATAGAGGGACTCTGAAAGAGTCTTCCCTGCAGGGTATCAAAACAGAGGCTGAGACTCATAGCCAAACTTTGGGCAGAACACAGGGAATTTTATAAAAGAAGGGAGAGATAGAAAGAGCTGGAGGGGACAGGAGCTCCACAAGGAGAGAAAAAAAAAATCTGGACACAGGGGTCTTTTTTGAGACTGGTACTCCAAACAAGGACCATTCATGGAGATAACCTAGAACCCCTGCACAGAGGTAGCCTGTGGTAGCTCAGTCTCCAAATGGGATACCTAGTAACTGTCTCTGATATGCATTCAGTTGTCTACTCTTTGATCACCTCCCCCTGAGGGGGGTGCAGCCTTACCAGGCCACAGAAGACAATGCAGCCAGTCCTGCAATGAGAATTGCAGGACCAATGAGAATTGGTAGACTAGGATTAGAGGGAAGGGGAGGAAGATCTCCCCGATCAGTAGACTTGGGGAGGGACATGGGAGGAGAGGAGGGAGGGAGAGTAGGATTGGGAGGGGAGGAGAGAGGGGGATACAGCTGGGATACAAAGTTGAATAAACTGTAATTAATAAAACAATAAATAAATTAAAAAATTCTTGTTGTCTATTACTTTTTTTGTGTTATACTTTTCTACTAAAAGAGAATGCGTTCTTTGCTGCTGTGTGATCTATTGGCCTTTACCATGAAGCTCCATTGTTCTATATTCCACAGTGCATTCAACTGAAAGCCTTCTATGTGGTTCCTGACAACTCCCATGGAAAGGTGGTTGTGACTGGCTGCAGCCTGGATGACTCAGAACTCTTTCTTTTATTACTTGGGTCCATTTACCTCATCTAGTCCATGGGCTGAATATGGAAGATGAAGAATATCCACAAAGCAAGGAGAGCACAGGTTCCATAAAATACTCAAGCAAAGGTACTGGATGTGCAATATTTTGTGCTTCTGAATGAGACCTTCTTCCCGTGTTTCAGAATGGGTACATGATGTGTGTAGGTGTGCACTTGGTCTGTTGACCCAGTAAAGGCTTCTCTGCAGATCCTTCAGACCAAGGACAGACCTGCTAGTACTAATAATTCATGTCAATATCCCATGAAGCCTTTGATCTCCAGCTTTGGACCATAAGCCACTCTGAGATCACACCAAATATGACCCAGGGCTAGATAGATGAAGCACTGCTTTGTTGGAAAAGTCTTCCATAGGTGGTATCACCCCACATGCCCTGTGGTTTTCTGGCCCTCATCTCAAGTACTCCTTAAAGTTAGATTGTCTCTTGACTCTCAGAATCAGTGTGGCATGTAGAAAGGGGGAGGGAGAGAAGCTTGGGTCCTGCCCTGTCTAGTGACTCCTGTCCTGTTGACTGCAATTCCAGCTGTCAGGAGAGTTCTGCAGTCAGCCATTTGAGAGCAGAGGGGTCAGTTAGCTGAGCCTGGGAGACTCTGTGCAAACAAGGGGGTGGGGGTCTGTGCCGTTCCTGCTTCATCTTTGCTGAGCTAAATGTGTCTCAGCGTCTGAAGGTTTAAAAAATAGATACACAGTTTGGGAAAATGTCTTCATTTCTGTACACGAACTTGAGTAACTCTGTGGCATGATAAACTAATCAATATTAAATGGCTTCTCTCCAAAGTCATTTCCTCTGTGCCTGCACAGACTAGCATTTTTTTTTTTTTTTTTTTACCTAGATATAATTAGCATGAGCATGCTTGTTTTTGCTTAAGAAAACATCTTTATTTATTCAGATTGGGGTTTTTCAGAGGGGAAGGAAACACAGAATTCCAAGAACCTTTGTGGGAGGGTGGGGAAGATTACACAAGCTCAACTATTCCAGAGTCAAAGAATCCTTAAAGGGCCCCTATCTCTTACTGATCACCCTCCTCTACTGACAGCGCCATCAACATGGCTTTTTGCCAGATTGCTTCAGAACTGACTCCACACCACATGCTGTCTTTTCAGGTCCCCAGTTTGCCCATGAATCCTCACTGCCCCTCTGTGCCCTTGCCTTTGCTGTGCTGGGTCACTGGATTCTCCTATAGTTTTCCTTGCAAGAAGAAAGCAGAAAAAGATGGTCTCTGGGATAGTTCTCTTTACTAGTCCCTTCAAATGTCTTTAAAAACAAAACAGGGACTGTTTCTGACATGAACTCAATGGCTGGCTCTTTTACCTCCCTCCACCCTGAGGGAGGAGCAGCCTTGCTAGGCTACAGAGGAGGACATTGCAGCCAGTCCTGGTGAGACCTGATAAGCTTGGGTCAGATGAAAGGGGAGGAGGAGGACCTCCCCTATCAGTGGACTTAGAGCGGGGCAGGGAGGACATGAGGGAGGGTGGGATTGGGAAGGACAACTGGAATACAAAGTTAATAAACTGTAACTAATAAAAAATAATTTAAACAAACAAACAAACAAACAAACAAAAACAAACAAACCAGCAAACAAACAGTGACCAAAACAAAACCCCACAAAAACAAAACAAAAACCACAGACAGCTGCCAACTAGATTAAAATGACCTCTCCTTTCCTATTACTTAAAAGGACACAGCCATGTTTGGTGTAATTAAAAATGGGTATTTGTACAGCTGTCCTGAGGTTCATGCTCCATAAAAGGATTGACTTCTGACCTTGCTGCCTGAGTCCTTTCACAGAAAACAGTCAAGCTCTTCATCTGGGCAGAGCCAGGCTTGGGTTTTTGGAACAGGCCATGCTAACTTTGCCTCGATACCCTTTTTGCATTTGGGATGTCAGTAACAGAGAGGAACAGAGCAATGCAGCTGAACTTTGAGTTACCTTGCCCACATATTTTGTTTGTGTGTGTGTGTGGGGGGGGGGGGGGGGCTGCAAGACCTTGAAGGCTATTTCAAGGAGTTTCTGAAAATGCCCCCAGGGAAATGACAAGAATCCACCAGTGTAATTTGTGACTTTGGCTGAAGCTCAGGGCAGGTCACCCCAGAACTAGGGCCTTCCCTGCCTCAAGCGGTCCTTTGCTGGCATCCTTCAGGGAAAAAGGGGGTGGGGTATCTGGGGATAGATACATCCGCACAAAGCGCGGTTTCCCACCAAAGCCCAGAGAGGCGGAAGAACCGGAGCTCAGCATCTGGCCGATGTTCAAGCGTTCGCCGAGCAGGCTTCAGGCAGCTTTTGGTCATTTTGAGCCCTTTCTGCCTGGAAGTGAATGCAGGGGCCAGCGAAGGTCACCACCTGCGGGCCGGGGGCGGGGCGGGCCACACACGCGGAGGCCGGGGGAGAGCTGGGAGTTAGAAAAATGTGACCCCGCGACCCCAAACGCCGCCAGGCTACCTCGCCTGCGCTCCACCTGCTCCTCGGCGCCCAGCTGCTAGCGGACCATGGCCAGCCCTGCGCCCTTAGTGGCTTCCATCAGCCACCAAATGGTGGCTTTGCAGACACTGCAGCTGCTTCAGCAGGAGTGGGGCTGGGGGGACGGTCCTAGCGCCCCCGGGAGCCCGAGCGGTCCGGACCACGTGCCCATCGCCCCGGCTCGTAACTCAGGCCAGATGAGGACCCGGCGGGGGCTAGGGCGAGGGAGCACGGGAGCGCGAGGCTCCCCCGAGGCAGGGGGACTGAGGGGAGCAGAGGGGGGCGCCGAGCTGCTGCCCTTCCCCCGGGACCGCGGGCCCTGTACCCTGGCGCGGATGGCGATGCGCAGCGCGCTGGCCCGCGTGGTGGACTCGACCTCGGAGCTGGTCAGCGTAGAGCAGACTCTGCTTGGGCCTCTCCAGCATGAGCGGCCCTTCCCCATCCACCTAAAGGTGAGTTTGCCCTGCCTTCCCCTAGGCCTGCAGTGCTTGGATGAAGTGACTGGGACCCCCGGAAGTCCGAGCAGGGTGTGGTCAGTCTGCTGTGTGCAGGGAAGGGGGCAAAAGGAGACACATGTGGGACAGGCAGGTTGAGAACCAACAGCCTGGGGTCTGCCAGACTGTGGAACTAGACCTGAACCAGGACAGGGCACACCCTCCTGTGTGTGTGTGTGTGTGTGTGTGCGCGCGGGGTGGGGGGGGGGGGGGGGGGGGGGGGGGGCGGGGGGGAGGTGGAGTTGGGGGAAGGGCCAGGTGTATATATAGGGGAATGCAGCAGAATAAGGAGGAAGACTTGTAAGACCTACCTGTCACATTTTTCTACCTATGGAGGTCAGCTGCCCTTACCTCTTCCTCCAAGCTTACATTCAATCCTTCAAAGCTTGAAGCACACTTTAAGTCCCTAGCTGCAAATATTATGACAACATCCTCTTTGTTTATTTAAAGTTCCTTCACACTCGTGAATCACGATTATTTTGCATAAATCCAGTTCCCCACAGAGCACAGAGTCAGCCTAAATCCTCATCAAGGGGGCTGAGGGCAGGTGGTTTCAGAAGTTGACAGGCTTGCTAAAAGCATCAGGGACTCCTGCTGAGTCAGCCAGCTCATCTGTGTGTGGCAGAGCTGGGAAGAGACCTGAGCTGAGGTAGGTTGGGGTCTAGTGTTTGGGGGTCCGGTCCTGGCCTTGCCATCAACTAACCTAATTGTGCTGGTTTTATTAACTTGACCCAGCTAGGGTCATCAGAAAAGAGGGAACTTCAGGTGAGTCTGTGGAGGCATTTTCTTGATTATCGGTTGATGGGAGAAGGGAGTGGAGGGAGAACCCATCCTCCACTGGACATCGCCACCCCTGGGCTGCTGGTCCCGGCTTGTGTGGTGAAGCTAGCTGACGAGCCATAGGGAGTAAGCCTTGGTTCCACCATGTCCTCTGCTTTGGTTCCCGCCACAGGTTCCTGCCCTGAGTCCTTCATGAAGGAGTCATGTAAACTGTAAAGGGATAAACCCTTTCCTCCTTAAGGTCCTTTTGGTCATTGTCTTCATCACAGAAACAAAAAGTAAACTAGGACATAGTCTTCAGGGCACTTTTTGAGACCTGCTGGTTCTCAAGTTGTGGACAGGAGCACCATCCCGTCCATCCACTTGGGAGGCTAGAGGAGGTGGGGTGTTGAAGAGAGCTTCATGTATCCCTTAAGTATTGATGCTGTTCCTGTGCCACAAGCCAAAGTTCGGAAAATGTGCCGTATGTTAAGTTGCGTCATGTGTTGTAAAAATTTCAAATCAGTCATCACTAAGCAATGTCCAAGGCAGGTTCTCTCTCTCTCTTCCTATTTCTCAAGAAAAAAGTTTAATTTCTGCCAGTGTCACATAACAGTGGTTGTGATTTAAGACACGAAACAATGTGATTTAATTTCAAGAGCTGTACATATAACTTTAGAAGCATGTTAGAAATACATGTGTGTATTAGTTGCTTTTGGGTCACTATGACTTCGTGATTCAAACCTTAAGCACTGAGGGTGTGCTGGAAGCTGCAAGGAGTTCCATTCAGAAGAAGGGCAAAGGTCATTCCGGACACTCAGGAGTGGGCAGGCGAGAGACCCGAGTGGCATCCTGTAGCCACAGAACATGAGACAGGTCAACCCCAGATGGCTGGGTTTCGGCGTGTGAGTCAGGTCAGCCGTGATATTCTGAGGCTTACCTAAACAAGAGCCGGAATGCCGCCGCCACCAAGATTGTGGAGTTTTGTTCAGTGCCGTGGTCATCCCTCCTTGGTCATCCTTTGGACGCTTCTAGTTGACCTAAGGGCCCAAGTACACTCCACCCCTTGCCAGATGTCCTCATCTGAACCTTACTCCTCTTCTGGGAGAATTGAGGCCAATGGACTGGAGTATCTTCCTTCCCCTCTAAACTACAGTGTGTGTGAGTGCGCGTGTGTTTTCTACTCCTGGATTCTTTCTTGTACCACAGAAGAAAATCCTTCACATGTCCCTAGCTATGCTTTTACTCAGCCTTACTGTATACACTGTGTACTTTTCTGTAATACATTATAATTTAGTTTAATTTATAAATTAAGTAAGAGATTAACTACAATAGCCAAATATAAACCAGAACAGTTAGTAGCAATACACTTCATGTAAACACCCACCTCTCTAAGCTCGTGGCACCGCATTCACCCCTGTGATGACTCTGGACACTGCAATGCCTGGGTGGGGTGAGGTGAATGAATTAGCATTAGGCACCTGCATAAGGGCCTCTCGAACAGAAGCTCTGTCAATATCGTAAGAGCGCTGGCTGAAAATTAGCGAATAGGTTGGAAGAATATCTAACCTCGAACCTGGGCAAGGGGCAAAGGGAATTGCAAGAGTACATCACACTGCTCAAGCTGGACCCAGTTTACAATCTAAACATTGTTTACTTCTGTAGATTTGTGTACAATTCTTTTAGCCTGTAGTTGACAGCAGGTGACTAAAGCCCCCTTTCTGACCTCTGACTATTCAGGGATCTCTTTCCTTTCCTCTTTATCCCCCTTTCTCTCTTATCTAGCGTTAGGGGGTTGAAAGATGAAAAGAAGTGTAGAAGGGTGGAAGAAAAGGAACGAACCCATTAAGTGGTAAAAGTCTGGCTACAGCTTCCCTTAGAAAGCGTTGTTCTTGCTGTTATCAACAAGCTGATAGTTCATAAACCACCACTACCACTACTACTTTTTCAGATCTGTGGATAACTCTGACTTATGAGCTGTTTCCATTTCTAGGGCTGTTGAGAAACATACAGGTAGGACACGCAACTAAGTGGATTTTCAGGAAGTTTCCTCTGCATAGAAGTTTCCACAGCCTGGCTTTATGCCCTGGCTTCATTAGTACTACCGAATGTGTCCTTGTTGAGTGGGTTAGGGACTAACCCATCTGAAGAGAAATGGTGTGAGGTGTGAAGGCAGAGATATCCTCCTATTAGCAGCAATAGGCAATTTTTCTATTACATTTTTCTCTCTATTGTATTTTTCCTTCTAATGAAATAAGCTTACATTTAGTACTCTCTTTGAACATTTAGAAAATTTCCAACCCTTTAAAAGAAAACATGAAGTGAGTTTCTTTGTGGTGGATGAATGAATGATGTTTAACAGTCCCGAGTCTTGTTAAGGTTGGTACAAGTAACTAGCTTAGAAAATATTTATTACAGGAGGAAACAGCCTCAGGCAACTTTGGGGCTTTGATGAAGACTTGAAAGTTAAGACATGATTGGAGTTAATGTGATTCGTCCCAATTATATCACTGGCCAGATCATGTGAGCATTATGAACTAAAGAAACGCCTGTGGTAGACGGGGCTACGGCTGGGCAATCATTCTTTGTATCTTATTCAGGTGGTTGTAATCACATTGTAGACAGGGTGTGTCGGTCAGCTTAGTTGTTGTAACAAAATGTCTTCAACAACAGACATTCATTTTCTTATTCTTCAAAGGCTGGAGTCCAAAATCAAGGCAGTGATGAATTCAGTTTTTGTGAGTGCCTCCTGTCTGGCTCCCAAGGCATCTGTCAGGTTGTCTTGGTGTATCTCACTGGGAGGAGGAAAGGAGGAGAGGAGGGAGAGAGGGAGAGAGAGCGCTTCCAGAGCATCTTCTTAGATGAGAGGACTGGGGATATAGTTCAGGTTGGCAGAATATCTATCTAGAATATATGAGGTTCAATCCTTAGGTCCCTGTAAAACAAAACACATAGTAGTACATTTGAGAGAGGCAGGATGAGTAGAAATTCAAGGTCATCCTTGGCTGCATAGTGAATTTAAGAGTTCATGAGCGTCCCCCACCCACTTATGTGTGCATGCGTTCGGGTGGTTCCTTATTCTTGTGATCTCTTTCCTCCTTAATTACCTTCCCACAGGCCCTGCAAGTAGTCACAGTGGGGGTGGAGCTTCAGCATAGGAAGTTTCAAAGTATTCAGTCTGTCATGCTGGGTGGTCCATGCACCCTACCCTAAAGACCGCCAGATAGGGTTACCCAAAGCACTGAGCATTGGCTTGAACACAGGAAGTCATTTTCAAGCTAATAGTAACAGCAAGCATGTGACGGACATGTGCTCCCAAAGGGAACACAGAAGTGTCCAGGACACCAGAAGGTAACCAATCTGAACTGCAGAAAAGATGACCAAGCCAGTTTTGAAGTGACCCTAAGTTTCGTCAGGCTTCAAGAATTAAAAGCACGTAGTTTCCAAGAGCTACATCTGAAGAAGAGACAAGCGGATGCCAGCTTTCAGACACAGAACTTTCTGCCGTGGCCGACTACACTTGCCTGTGAGCTCATTCATTCCAATAAGCTCATTATGGTAACAATTGCTCTGTCACACTCAATTGCTCTCGCTGAGTGTCTCACGTTCCAGAATGTGACCAGCAACCCACACACTAGTGACCTTGGCCTCACTCCCATACTCATGTTCTTTGCACATAATAAATGTGACTACCAGCTGTTCAAAGAAGACATTACTGCATCCATGGTAATTAGTGAAACCGGCTTCTACAGGTTTGGGAGTAGCGTCTTCAAAAATTCTAGACCTTGGATACTGGAATGATTGTTGTGGGATGTCTGCCAGACAAGACCACGGGTTCAAGCTAAAAGAAAGTCTTTGTTAGCCAGCCAGCAACTACATGGGGCATTTAGGCCCTGAGTGCAGTCCTGAGTCTTTCGTGGGGTTTAAGACCACATCTTGGGTTGATGCATCTCAGTTAGCAAGAACAGTTAGCCAGAAGTGGAACTACAAAAGGCAAGGAGTTGGTACTGTTATACCCAGTTCGCAAGCCCCCAAAAGATCTACAGGAATCGACTCCATTGCAAAACACATGAGGGTCTTTTTATTGTAAATTACAAGCTGCAGCTTGGGCCTATACAGTCCCACCGCCGAAGCGGTGGGAGCTGAGTGCGCCGTCCCCAGGTTAGTTGGTTGATTTATAGATTCTGGTCCCTCCCAGC